ATATATATATATATATATATATATATATATATATATATATATATATATATATATATATATATATATATATATATATATATATATATATATATATATATATATATATATATATATATATATATATATATATATATATATATATATATATATATATATATATATATATATATATATATATATATATATATATATATATATATATATATATATATATATATATATATATATATATATATATATATATATATATATATATATATATATATATATATATATATATATATATATATATATATATATATATATATATATATATATATATATATATATATATATATATATATATATATATATATATATATATATATATATATATATATATATATATATATATATATATATATATATATATATATATATATATATATATATATATATATATATATATATATATATATATATATATATATATATATATATATATATCATGAATTATCCGGATGCGCGATAACCGATCAACACTGGTTTTGTCAGTTGTCGGTGGCTTGTGACGATCAGATTTCGTTTGATTCCAACCGGAATTGAGATAAGGGTTCACCGACAAACAAAAACGAAAAAAGAACTGTGAGGCATACGCCAAAGTTTCTACCGACAAAGGCAAGCACATGTAATATTCGTCTTCACATTATTTTTTGAGAGTGCGATACAAAAGCTTAAGATTATCGCAGAGTAACTGTTGAATAAAAAACTATAACAAAGGGTTAGTTCACGACCTGCTTCATCACCAGAATTTATTCAAATGCACAGTCTAATCCATAGTCTTAGCACATCTTTTGAGCTTCCAACACGTAATGCTGGCTTCTAGTTGATTCAACCACTCGAGCCTGTTGATGAACGCTCCCTTCGCAATGGGTCCAGCGTCCTTTTGATCCAGGGTGCTTGACATGGTCTGCTTTACACATAAATAGTTTCCATCTAACATTTTGTCTTGAAGCGTTGTACAGCTGTTCCATAGTTATTAGGAATCATCAACATGGTGTAGCCCACAAATCTGCGGGACCGGAAGGCGCGGGTTCGAATCTTCCTGGAGGTTCGTGGGATCACCGACGGGGCTGATGACTGCCAGATAGGATGAAACAGTTATTCAGTGCTTCTCGACGTTTAGGCATGAAGCAACTTCATTTAAAGCACGAATTCTCGATCGAAAACTTCAAACTCTCTTCAAATCATCAACAGAACACAAGCGGTTCATCTGAGTTCATTTGCTGGTTCATTCTAGGAATCGTGATGACGGATGAAAGAGATGTGGAATTACTGGGCAGTCATTTTCGATGTTGAATCTTGGAGATTTGACATCATTGCGGAACATACCATTGGTGTGTTCGAATTCGCGACAAGCTCATTGCCGAGACATATTTTTTGAGACAAATAACGAGTAGATAGAATAGGAACGACAGTGAAGGAATAATGAATTTGTAGGCAAGATATAGTCACTTAGGGTGTAAAAATTACGGAGACAGAAGGACGAGATAAATAAATGTCTCAGCAAAGAAGGGTGAGATGGCCCAATTGGTTAGAGAGCGAATTTACTGACCGGAAGGTTCGTGGTTCGAACCCGACCTCTGCCACTCGACTTCCCATGTCTAGGCCTGGGCGACCTGGCATTATCCAGCCCTCGTGCATCCTCCGGGTGACATGGCAGCTACGCACCGGAAAGGTGTTACAGCTGAACGATTATTATTTTTATTTAAAGGCAATCTGCATCGTGACGGTCTATGTGCCTTTGTAATCAATTCAGATATGCTGGGGGTGTCCGTACGACACTTGCAGCGTCTTTCGTGCCAGGTTAGCCTGTGGTTTGAGGTCTGACTAAGACAGCTTCTGGTTTGGGATTAGGAACGTGTGTGGCAACCTGCTCCTTAGAAGTGTAGGCTGTTCTGATGGTCTTACATTAAGCAGCTGTCAGACCTTTGAGCCAAAGGATCCTATTCGTCCTCCTCTCTAGGCTTGAGCGTCCTGGCCCAGGTACGAAAATGATTCTCCACAATGAGGTAAAGGGGACCTAAACCGAAGAATGTGTCCAGCAACAGGAGTTGCGATGGTTGGGCCATGTCGATGCATTTTTGCCAAAGACAGTGCTGTTCTCCTTGCCGAATTCAGAGAACGCAAGCAGACCCGGCGACTTGGTGCGACTTGCCTTCCAGGATGAGGTCTGCGTGATCCCCACTGCGCCTCATAGGAAATGTTGCGAGATATGGTCGCTCATCGATGTCAGTTGGTCTCAGTTCCTATCCAGGTTAACTGAATGAGTGTCTGGAGGTGTGGGCACCTCGAAATGATTACGGCAATCTCTTCTCCATCCACCTTCACTATAAGGCTTCCGAATAAATTATGGTTGTGCGGCAGCGAGTGTTATACTTTCGATGATGATGATGATGATGATGATGATGATGATGATGATGATGATGATGATGATGATTCCGTAGCAACTGGCAACAGCCCACCTGGCATAAAAATTTGCACACAACAAACGGTCTTCGGCAAGTTCACTCACTCAAACTTTCAAACTGAAACAAACTGGTGTGTAAGTCACAGAGCAGTGGGTAAGATGGACAACTAGAGACAATTTCGGCGTGAAACAACGTAAGCGTTATGCGGTCTCCAAAACGGCTCTATACTTCAAATATCTAATAACGGATGGAACGCCATTGGGACAGGTATACTCAATCGAGTGTACCACATGGACAGGTTGGAGCATCGAAAACAGGATCAATAATATTCGACACTTGCCGGATATCCGTTATGAAGTCCGTGGGACACGTGAGCCATGGTTATCAAACCAGACCGGAAGGGACGACGATCAATCGACTTGTCAGTTTGCGCTCATCCTTGGTTCTAGGACTTCTGCCTAATGCGGATTGTACGCTGATGGAGTACGTGTATGGTCAGCTCAGCTAACCTCAAAAAAGGGACGTCGTCCCATAGTTCATGCCCAGCATTGTCCACTGCCCTCTTTGTCTGTTTGTTTCCCGGACAAAGGAGTGTCTTCGAACTATAGTTTGAGCCAGTCACATGACACGGATTATGTTCAAAGAGCAATTCGGAACACTATTAAGGATAGTGATGATGTCAAGAACAGATCGAATAAAAAGTCGGGTGAAAAATCCCATATGCAGGGACTCGTGGGAAATTTAGTCGGATGGTCTAGTTAGTCAAGTGAAGGATAGTTGAGTATCCGAGCTATTGAGTAGAACGCTGATAAGGAACATCACTCACTTGCGGTTTCTTCGTTTGAAAGGATGAAGTACGTGATTCAGAAACAGATGATTCTGTGTCACCGGATGAATTGTTCATGATCTCCTCAGGGGCCAGGGGGGCACGACGCTTGGCACATGTGTCTTTATGAACTGTGTCACGTGTGTATCGGCTAGTTTCAGGTTTGCTATTCTGGGGAACTGCACTGGAAAAAAAACAGAAAGCAACATGATGCACCAGGAATGTCACGCTATTTTCGCCCAAACTTTTGCAGACAAAACAATCCGCATTGACAACGAAAATCCAGTGCACGCATAGGGGAACAAATATGTCGACTGAAATGCTATTTCCGAATAGATCTCCAACTATGTGAAGTGGCACACTACTATCACTTTTTACGGTTACTTCTGTAAAAAAAAAAGCAACACACATTGTGTTGCTAGCGCATCAAGGGCAAATAAAACCAGTTCTCCAGGGCGAGAATTTGTCAGACTCTACATTTTGAGCGGAAATACAGCGCGTGTGAACACCAGATGAGGCTAAACTTTAAATCTTCCAACTTTTATGATACTGCTGCGTTGTATCAGTCAGTACCGTAGTGGTTAGGGTTCCAGAATCAACTACAGCGGCCATCATAACATGAACTTTCTGGGCGGAAAGTCCGAGGCTCATACACTGTGTAGAAACTCTTTGGATCTTGCGAACAGAGCCGGAAACGTTAACGGACCACCAGCGCTCCACTTCCGTCATCAGGAATAACTGAGCACGCTGATGTATACCAAAGTCGTTCGTCATCCACTCGCTGTCGTGAGATCTCTGTCAGCAGTAATCGCTGACAAAAGGACACAGTCAAAAGTGTTGGACGCTTGTCATAACCTTCGAAAATAACACCAGCAATGTATCTGGGGATGTAGACGATCCAGCTCATCACCAAATCTCACCTCCCGCCATTCGCGAAACGTGCGGCTTCTCCAATTTAATCCGATCGCAGATGTGACCTTTTTCAGTTCAGATCTCTCTCCCTTTGTCATCTTTCTTCCGAAATGCAAAGAACTATATGGGGAAAATTCTGTGCACTGGAACTCAAGAGAAGACAGTCTATGCGCTTCTAACATGACATCCTGGATCAGAATGATGATTTGCGCTGCATTTTCATGATCTGTTTTCCACTCAGCATCTGCTCCTACTGCCAGACCGGTGTTAATGCATGTGCTCTAAAGCAAGCAACACTGGCTACAAGTGTCTCACCAGACGTGCAGAAGAGCACCTTGCAATATGTTTGGATCGGAGGGCTGTGATGTCTTGAAACAGCTTTATAAGTGAACCGTTACTCAGCCAGTATAGATTCTTGATATAAGTTACTGAAAGATCTTCGGCGACCCGCCACTGGTCTCGCCGCTTTTGGGACGCATCAGGTAGGCACTGTTCACCGGTTTTCGTCGCTCTGATGCTCTGTTTGGACGTCAAAGTGTACGCAAGTAGTATGTTATGCCAAGAGAATATACCTCGAAACATGAGACAGCTTTGTGCAGTACATTCGGTTGGAGATCGTTAATAGGAAGTACAGCTGAGTCTCTCGTTAACACCAATGTAATTTGCAAATGAGAGCATTTCCTTGTCCAAAGTGTAGACGTAATGCACTACTCATAAGGTTGCTAAAAACTTTTTGACAGCCCATGACCATTTATGCCCTTCTTGGGGCTCATCAGGTAGGCACAGTCCCCAGTGTTTGTCAACCTTATGTCACACTTGAACTCAAATTGAACAAAATTAGACTTATATGCTGATCTGTATACTTATTTGGTTTTGACGGGAGACTCACTTAGAACTCAAACGAATCCCTATAGTTTATGTTCGACAGTTCGGTTCAAGTAGATCATAAGGTTGACGGAAACTCGGGGACTGCGCCTACCTGATGAGCCCCAAGAAGCGCGAAACCGGTGGTGGGCTGTCGATGAATTTTCAGCAACCTTATGAGTAGTCTCCTTTATGAAAATATACTGAGATATCTCGAATATCGTGCCAACTGAATCATAGGCGGCCTGTGTGCAGCACATTCAGTTGGAGGACATCATAAACGAGAGATTCAATTGAGTCTCCCATGAAATACCGAACGTATAGTTTAGTTTTCATTGCTATGAACCATTTGTAAAACCACAAAAGGATGAGAAAACTTCATTCGAATGCGGTTACAAGCTCTACAAAATGTGCTGTGTACTTCTTCTCGCCCAAAAGCGAATTCTCAAAGTCAGTCACGATTAACCTTCAGGATTTCCACGATTGTTCCAAGAAGGTGAAAAATGGGTTCTCGAAGCCTCGAAGACGAGGAAATTGTGTAATTCTCTAGTCATAACTTTGAAAACAGTTCAAATATCCGACGGGAAAAGTGAGGCAAAACAAAAGTTGTTCTTTTGGATACGTTATGCATATTTAGAAGATCTTATTGATCCACATGCAGTTGCGTAAAATATTTCCGCTGAAACATGCCATGGGCTTTAAAAACGGGGGGAGACGGAACCAACATCTGACTTTCACTGCGTATTGTTTTTGGGCTATAACAGATAAACTGTCCTCTCTGTATCGCAATTTTAGGGGTAGACCGACAGGGGCAGCCTAATGACATTACGGTTCAAGAAACCACAGACTGTATTTGCCAGCTACCCCGCTACCTAGAATTTTACGGCCAACAACGTCATATATTTCGAAATCCGTCTACTCAACCACCAGCTATCCCGCTACCTAAAATTTTACGGTCAACCGTGTCATATATTTCGAAATCCGTCTACTCAACACTGTTTTTGTGTATGTTCGGCTGTCGTTTATTTGTTTCTGGACCACTGTTTACCTGAGGGTGATGGATGGATGGATGTTCTACATCGAATCACTGTGACCAGGCTGGGGTGTACAGCACACATCACCATACTGATGTGATCACGCTTAAGGTATGAATACAAGCTGTTGATACGAGTCACCGATACCGAACAAGTTTTTCCTTCATAGGTGACGCTTTCTGGTTTAGGTCAACCCAATACCGTTCCCACACCACCGGCTAACACATCAATCAACCACAGTTATGGGAGCGCTCTAATTGCTAAGTTGAACTCGCAACATCTGGGCCTGAAGGGCTCAGTCACACCACTAACGCAAGGTATACTAAGGGGTGAACAATGATGTTGCGTCCAAAATAGGTGAGAGCTCGGTATGATCGGGACCAAAACAATGGCAACCGCCGTTCAAAATCGGTTCTCGCAGACAAAAGTTTGCTGAAGGTCGCCAGTTCACGTGTATCTGGTTCAATTTCCAACCTGAAAGCCACTCCGTTAAGCATGTATGGTTCATAGATTTTACAAAATATTATTTTTGTTTTCCGTTCATTGTAAAAAAAGTTCATAAAATCAACGTTGTTGCACGGTGTCCAGTGGATTTCCGAGAGCTTGCAATCACTCCTTTTCAGGGAATTCAGCAGACTGAAAAAGGTTGATACTCGGACTGAAAAGATACGGGTGTTTCAGATTCAGCATAATTCAGAAAAACTTCATTGCCCTAGTGGTAGAACGCGAGGGCAAAACACGGATCGGCTCCGTTGTCTGGGGGGCGTTGCCTCGGGCTGCTTTTTTCAGTAGTCCGAAAAAGGGCCACACCGCGGGTGGCCTTGTGTAATGTTCAAACCAGTCCGCTCCATTCGTTCCTTATGTATACCGGCTGTTTATTCGCTCGGCAATTATCGATCAGTAAGGATCATGTGACCGTTTCGCTGACTTGATTCTTGTCTGCTGGTCTCACATGCACGTCCATCAACATCGAAAATCCAGTTAAAATGATAATGACAGAAACTGCGGCCTCCTTGATTCCAAAATCATTTCACAAAAATAATGTTTTCTGATAACCGGTTTGAGTGCGAATGGCCCAGTTCATCAGTCGGTCCTTGAGGAAATCTTACTTGGTTGTTTGTGTCTCATTCGTTTGGGGTGAGGGAACACCACAGTGACAAAGAACATAACTTGCATTATGTGGCATTTGTAAACTGGCGCGATAAGCAGGTGCACACAGAAGAATGTGAATCAACTCGGGCTTATCGCAGTTGGTTCGACATCTGTCGCGGACATCGATAAGCGGCTCGTTTTCCACATCGTGCAAGCATGGTTTATGCATAGAGTGAAATGGTGGGTAAATTGTTGAAGAGAACACCGATTCTGCTTACTTGTGCACTAGAGGCTTAGTCTATAGTTTCGTGAACAATTTTAGCAAGCGATATGGCTCTTTAAATTGTATTTTTTTTGGGGATCACAGCGCATCACATTCCCTCCTGGGAAGAATAAGGTGTCCGTTTGGCGGAGGTGTTTCCCCGGGGGGTAAGAACCGGTTAATCAGAAATATATCGGGTAGTGTGGTAGGTGATAGCGCCTGCTGGATTGGAAGCGCCGTAAATTGAAAAAAAAACTTGCATATTCACGAGCGGAACACACCGTAAGCCATGAGTGCCTCCATGAGAAAGGACCCCACATAAACACTGACCCGTATTGTGCCCAAGCACAGTTCACCTCATGTACGCTTTGTGTTGGTTCGTACATCCACCACTCAGGCAACACGTATCGTATTTGCTCGCGATTGAACAAATCGCTGCAGCAGATGATCGTGCTCCTGTCACATGATTGCTTTGTTTTCCTGTTGATTTGTGTCGCCTTTCTGTGGCCTCACGTGCATCAATTTTGCAGCGCAGGACATTTGCAGCTGCTCTCAAGGCACTGCAACCAGACATGGAAGCTATCATAACGTACTATCCGGTAAGGTCAATTTGAGTAAGAACCGGAAAACGAGATCATTTATGACCGCCTTGAAAAGAGAAACGAGTTGCGCGCCATGAACACAGTACCGAGAAAGAAGGCGACATCTAAGAAGCATAACCAAACAGCCAACTACCGTATGAGTGACTGACAGTTCCACTTGCAACCATGTCTTTCTTTCGCTCATTGTATCACTCATTCAAAACAGACCAGTCACGCGGATTAAGCCGGTATGTGTTGAACCCAACTCACGTTTCGTCAACCCGATAGCTGGACGACTGTATTGATAACCCATACAATTGACGAAAACTCGGGGACTGCGCCTACCTGATTACTCCCAACAAGCGCCAAAGTTTATCGATGGGTTATCAGCAACCTTATGACAGTTTCAGCAATGGATGTTCCCTCTCC